CCTCACGGCCTCTGTCATGCCGGATCCTGTGCCAGCCTCACGGCCTCTGTCATGCCGGATCCTGTGTCACCCTCACGGCCTCTGTCATGCCCGATCCTGTGCCACCCTCACGGCCTCTGCCATGCTGGATCCTGTGCCAGCCTCACGGCCTCTATCATGCTCGATCCTGTACCAGCCTCACGGTCTCTGTCATGCTCAAGTCCACTATGTCACTCCATCTCATAGAGGGTCTTTCTCTCTTTTGATAACCCTCTACCTATTCCTTCATGACATCTCTCTCCAAGAACTGGTTCCTTCTGAAAATATTCTTGTGTCCAAGGAGCACTCCGGTTGCACTTATTTCAAGGCAGATTTGCGTCTTGGCAGTGCATGGAATATTCAATACTCTGATTCCTTTTCTGCCATTCTTATTCACTGTCCAACTTTCAGAAGCACAGGAAGCAAGTGAAAATACCTGGCTTAGATCAGGGACACCTTAGCCTTTAAACTGACATTCTTCACACTTTAGTGTAAAATTTTCCTTTGGAAAAAAAAAGAATTTTGTAGTTTAACATGTAAGCTTTAAAATGGCAGGGCTATTAAAGATTGTTATTATGGTTCTCTAGAAAGCATTTTATGAGGATTTAAAAGCCATGATTACAGTAAAAGAAACCTGCATTATAGTTGCAGGCTGTCAAACCAATTCATAGCTGATCCTCCAATGGGTTTTTTTTTTATTATTATTATTATTATGTGTGTGTGTATGTGTACCGTCAAATCAGATCCGACTGGTACAGAAGGTTGCCCCTCCTTCTCCAGCAGCATCTGGTGTATTTAAACCGCATGCCTCTGGGCCATTGGGTTTTTAGAGACACTTAATCACACAGGAGGAGACTGTCTATCCTTCTCCCGCAGAATTGCTGGTGGATTTGAACACGCATGCATTCAAGACTGTAGCACAGCTTCTTACCTCTAAGCCACCAGATCTCCCTAAAAATAGTATTAGGCATACATATATTTTAATAGTAGAAGTAGAAATTAAAGGCAGGACTAGTAGTTACAGCTCATTATGAAACCAGTATTCCAAGTAGAATTATTTCTGTTGTCCAAGTAAGTCTTCAGTCAACCACATAAAATGGCATCTGTAGTACTGGCCCACCAGCACATTTAGTTTTCATATGCCATATGATTCATCTATGACTAACAGGCCAGGGACAGGGATAAAATTCATCTCCATGGATAAGTCCTAGCTCACAACCATTTATACATCAAGTCACTAATCTCTATCTCCCCTTGTGCAATTTGCCACCTTTGAAAACCCACCGGAGGGTTGGCTATGAGTCACTTCCGACTGGACAGTCCATAACTACAATCTCAATTTAGGTTCTGACGAACAGAAAAAACTCATCCTTGGTGGAGAAGCCTGCCTCTGGGGAGAATATGTAGATGCAACTAACCTCTTACCAAGATTATGGTATGTAACTGAGTTGGTAACATCTGAGTTAAGAAAGCAATTATCTTAGCTTTCCTTTTCCATTCAAGTGGGAAAGCACTAAGTATTGCTTCAATCTGTAATTTAGACACTGAAACATGAATTTAAAGTGTTCTGGGGTGTGTGTGGCTTTAAATCACAGGCCCCGGGCAAGTGCTGTTGGTGAGAGACTCTGGAGCAACAAAGATGTCAGAAATTTACAAAACGCTTACAACAGATTATTCCAACACCGCTGCAGAATGGTCCAGTAAGACAAACAGTTCTTTTTCAAGATACTACTAATCCTGGGTGATGTTTAAACCTCTCTTAGCTAGCCTCTTTCTTTTCTTCTAACTAGAAATGTGAGTTAATCAGCAGATATTAAAACTAGAGGAATTGGGAACAATACTTTGTAGGCAATGAAAATACCTATAAGAGGTTATAGTTGGACATAGAACTGTTCCATAGATGTATCAAATTTTGGTGTAACTTAGTGATCATCATCTGTAATCACTTTATGGGATTTTCCCACTCCCTTTCCCAATAATTATATTTGGAGATTCTAATTAAGCTACTAATTTTTTTAAGATCACCAAAGAAATATATTAACTATAAATATCTTTTATTCATACTTCTCTTCTACAGACGTGGAATACCTGCAGAACCTCTTTTTACTGGCCACTGTAGAGAAGAGTACACAAAAGCATTCTAAAAAGAAGGAGCAAAACAAGAGGCATAAAAGACCACAGAAATCTGTACTGCAATCAACTTGATTTTGAAATCATGGGAATTTTTTTAGGCTGCTCTTGAAATAAAATGTATCTTTATATTGATTGAACCTTGAGCTTATTTTACACTGTTGCTGTTAGGTGCCATGGAGTTGACTCTGACCCGGCAGACAGAAACTCCGCCCTATCCTGCGCCATTCACAGTTTCTGCCAGCTCAAGCTCAAGCCCACTCTTACAGTCACTGTGTCCATCATCTCATTGAGGGTCTACTTCCTTTTGTCTGATCCTCTACTTTTCCAAGCATGATGTCTTTTTCTAAGAAGGGCCCCTATGACAGTAGACCCCAAATATGTAGACACAGTTTCACCATCTTTGCCTCTAAGCAGTGTCCTGATTACATTTCCTTCATGATACATTTCCTTCATGATAGATTTGTTTGTTCTTTTGGTGATCCGTGGTATGTTCAATACTCTTAGGTACAGAAATAGAGCATCTTCCTTATTTGAAGCATAAAACCAACCAACATAAAACCAATATTGTACCTCTATCCAATATATCCAAAGGGTTAAGTTTTTACTGCTGATCTATTTATAATAAAATATTATCACCAGTAATGATAACATCATTAACACTGAAGAACAATATACAAGGTATAATTACATTTTAAAGCACATTTCTCATAATATAAATGAGAAGGGGCCGTTCCAGTGCCACGGCCTGTTGTCAAGGTACAGACTTTTTCCCCCCCCAGTTCTCTGTTCTCCAAGAGTAATGTATCTGTCCAACAAAGTCAGCAATGAAACTGTTCTTCTGACTGAAAATGAAGTAGATGGATGCTCCACTTTCTGGACACTAAAACACTTAGGCCAAGCCACTTCTCCGGCTGAGCAGTATATGCTGGTCCTGAGGATTCATGGCTTGATAATGAGATAGTTCTAAGGCAAAAGTAGCTGAGCCTGATGTTAGTGTTCGGAGCACCGTCGAATAACCCTAAAACAAAAACAAAAATCCACTGTCATTTCATTGATTCTGACCCACAGCAATCTTTTAAGGCAGAGAACTGCCTAGAGGCTCTCCAGGGCAGTAACTCCAGACAGAAGCCGACGACCTCCTCCTACTTCTGAGTAGATGGGGTAGAATCACTGATTTGTGATTAGCCACTGTGCCACTAGGGCTTACGGAACAGCCCTGATCAAAATCCTTTCAGTCAGCGATTTCAAAACATTTAAGCTCCAAGTTTCACTCCTTGATGCTTTTGAGAATGATCAGGGATACGTGATGATGATTTCTTTCAAAGAGATCATTTAACTTTTTTGGGTAGAAATTAACTACAACATTACTGTAAGCGACCCTGACTCGCTGCCACCATGCTGGAACTGATGCACAGCTGCCCCTCCAGCAGGTTTGAGCCTGGGAAAATCACAGGAAGGAGACTGTCCGCCTCCCTCTCGTGGACTTGCTGGCATATCTGAATGCCAGCGGTGTCACCTTCAGTTTAGCAGCACAACTCCCTATGGACTATGCTGTCACCAGAGCTTCCCAGCACTACAGCAGAAGCAGCAGAGCGGTGTAGGCAAGTGTCAAGCAGACTGTTGTTGTGTGCTACTGATGAGTCAGATCTGACTGACGGTTGACTCTCTAGCAGGTTTTCAGAAGCAGTAAATTGCAGAGAAGGAGACTGCCCATCCTTCTCCTGTAGAACAGCTGGTGGATTTGAACCACACATTTCTTGGGGACTGTAATGAAGCTCTCTTATCAGTAAGCCACCAGAGCTCCCTAATGAGTCCTGTTATTAGGTAAGGTGACTCTGCCCTTCCTGCTGCTTCGGTGGTACTGAAGTGTCTGTCTGACATCAGGGGAGGCTGATGTTCTAAAAATGGTCTTAAAACTGACAATGTTGTAAGTAGTATAAATGCTGAGGTGGGGAAAATGGTAACTTAAGCTGATGTGACATTTTAGTACAACAGCCCTCATCTTGGCCCCAGAATTGGACCCACTTCAATCTAACGTCAAAGCAGTTCTTGATGGCTGAGTCAGCATGCATATTCTAAAGGTAAAGCCCTGATGCTCTTTTCTAGGCCTTACTGACTGCCTGCTGTTGCTCAGTACATGTTTAATATTCCCTCTGTTAGAAAAGAGATGGATGTGCATTTCAGTCACAAAGTACTTACCATAATTTCTGCTAAGGGAACAAATCCAATAACAACTCTGTTGTCCTGGCGAGACTGGATTTCCTGAATGTTCCCTCTTCGTTGTGCGAGATCTGCCAGGACAGGGCTGAGGTAATCTCTAGTCACTGTAACCTCGAGATTCATCAGAGGCTCTAAAATTTGCTTATCTGCCTTCTTCAGAGCCTAAAGAAGTGAAAGAAGGTTAATCCTGTATATTGAACATTGAAATAAAATTTCTGCTGGGGGTGAAAAAGGGACTGATGGTAGAGGAGGGGCAAGTCATACAAACTTTTAAATGCCGCAAAGACTCAACCCTAGGGCTCTAGTAAACGACATACACTTGCTTTAACTTTGTTTATAGAGAAAATTATCAGTACAAATGATAATAAAAAGTACAAAGGTTAATAATAGTACATGTATGATACAGTATGTCTAAGATCTTGTGTATGGTACCTTCAAAGCTTCATTACTCTGCTAATGCTTTTTGTGGAAATGTAGCCAGAGAAACAGAACAAAGTTTACCCCTTTAAATCAGATTAATTTCTTTAATATTTAAATTTCATCTTTTTCCGAGTTCTGGTCCATGTCACATGTCAGAGAGGTCAACCAAAAGGGAAAAAAATTGAGAGAGATTCTTAAAAGAGAAAGAACTTTAACACAGTAGCAGCAGCTCTGACGGTTGGCCTATCCTGTGCCATCCTCACCACTGCTGATAGGCTACAGCTCAATGTTACAGTCACCATGTCAATCCATCTTGTTGAGGGTCTTCTCTTTTTTTGGACCCTCCACCTTTCTCAGCATGATGTCCTTTCCTAAGGACTGACTCTTCCTGACAACTTGCCCAAAGTATGTGAGGCCAAATTTCACCAGCCTGCTTCTAAGGAGCACCCAAGTTGCAGTGCCTCTAAGAGAGACTTCTTTGGCAGTTCAGTATTTTCTCCAACAGCACAGCTCAAAAGCAGCAATGATTCCTCTATCATCCTTATTTCTTTTCCAACTTCCAGACGCATGGGAAGCAACTGAAAACACCATGGCTGGATTAGGTGAACATTAGTCTTTACACTGACATTATTATCCTTTGGCCCTTGAAAGAGGGATCCTTGAAAACAGATTTTCCCAGTGCAACACGTTGGGGCAGGGGTGTTTGTTTTGGGGGTTTTTTTTCCAGCTCTTTAATGCTGGTACCAAGGTGGATTTAAGGAAGGTGAAATTGTTAACAATTTCAACCTTTTCTCCATCTAAGATTCTGCCACTGGTTCAGCAGTGAAGATTTTTGTTTTCTTGACTTTGAGATGTAATCCATAGTGAAGGCCATCTTTGACCATCTGAAGCAAGCATATTAAGCTCTAATATGACCTCAAAAGCTAACCAACTCAAAAGTACTACCAGATTTTATTTTTAGAAGGTTTATTTTATCTTGAAATACTGGCCAATGTTTTAGGCCTTTGGGTTAATTTAGAAACTATATAAAAATCATCCTTCAGATTACTATTCATTCAATACCCAACCCAAAGCAGGAAAGACTACAATTCCTGAGGTGAATTTTATCACCTGCAACAAATGAATCATGACTATTTCATAGGTATGCTCTAGTGGCTTAGCAGTAAGGAAATGAGCTGCAATCCCAGCTCAATGTGGTTCTTTTTATTAAATAAAAAAATTAAGTATCATTTTAATTCATTGGTTAGGGACACTACGTTTAGTCTTCTTAAGTCAGAGGCTTGAAGTATTAAATTAAGGTAAGGGAGCTCTGGTGGCCTAGCAGTAAGAAGCTGTGCTGCAATCCCAAAGCCACGTGATTTGAATCCATCAGCTGCTCCATGGGAAAACGATAGGCAATCTCCTCTCATTCAATTTACAGCCTCTAAAAGCCTGCTCAAGGGTCAGCTATGGGTCACTTCTGACTCAACGGCACCCAACAACAATTAGGATTCAAGTAAGACTGAATAGGGATTCAAATAAGAAAACCACATCTCAAAAACAATCCAAAATATTTTAAAAATTAAGATATTTTTATTTAAAAATAAAACCAAGTGTTTTCATGTAAAATCAATCACCTACAAAACTAAGGTAGTTGAGCTCTGAGAAGCATGTATGGAACCAGCAGTTAGTGTGCCAACCTTGTGGGAGCAAAAAGCAGAGGGTCCACACAATCTAAAGACATGCTTCTAGATAACCACACTGGGACCAAATTTCTTGACAAGTAAATGGCTCTTAATTAATCTTTGAATGAATATTAGTCCCTAAAATGGAACTAATGTTAGCTATTCAAAGTCCTTTTGGGGTACAGTTTATCCCATGTTAAGTTAATCCTAGATGTGTCCTCTATGTTGTGGTTGTATGTCTGGGGCTGGTGAAAGCAGATGCCAACTTGACGTATATATAAGAAATATTTTGTTTTACTAAGGTCAGAGTAATACAAAGTCAGAGTCACAGTGTATTCCTGTGCTACACAGTAGTATCTATGATTTCTGAGTAATTTCTAAGGTCCTTTTAGAAAGATGCTAGTGCTTAAGAAGTCAAAGATTCTCCACAGTAAGAACTCTTAATAATAACAAAGCTCAGGAAGCAAAGCCATGCAGTGGGGCTCTGTAAGCAAAGATGTTTATGAAAGAAATCAATGGTATTACATTGTTATTACAGTTAAAAGTGTCTATACCTTCTGTACGCATCTTGAAACACAGGCAGAAATCATAGTTGTTGAGGTTCCAGGATGAACTATCAGTGAATGTAAAGTAATTGCTACATCTTGAACTGGGAATCCAAGCAATGGTCCTAGGCAAAGAAAATTGCTATTAGGATTTCAGTGCACTTGAAGGAATAACTGAGAAGTGACAGTAATGAGATGGGGAGAAAGCACCAACAAAGCTAGAACATAAATGGAGATGATTCATAATATAGAGAGTAAATGGTTATGTGATACTTCCACTTAGTAAGCTTATGGAGTATCTCACCTTGGAGGCATGCACTATGAATTCCATTTTCAACGGGATCCTGGGAGATTTTCAACAGATCTTCAGTAATATTTTCAGCATACTCAATAACTGGCATAACAGATGATGTTCCAACAGGACTGGCTTCTAGTTCTACAGTTACAAGATGCCGTTTATCTCCTAAAGTTCTATCCAAGGTATCTGTAGTCAAACAAATTGAATACAGAACCTCAGAGATCTGTTCAGAAAAGGATCAGGTACCACAATTGGCAAATTTACAATAAGGATACGTAAAGTCTCACAGAAGTTATTATTAGAGAAAATATTAACAATGGCACGAAATAGAATATTTTTTAAATTAACAGTGGTAAGAGATTTTACCAAGAAGGCACAGAGCTCTAATGGTCTAATGGGTTAAGAGATTGAACTACTAGTCCCAAGACAGGCAAATCCAATCCAACAGTGGCTCAGTGGGTAAAAGAGGGGCAATCTCCTCTCATATGATTTACAGCCTCTGTCAACCACAGGAGGATCAGCTAAGAGTCAATTCTGACTTGAAAACACATAACAATCACCATCAACAACAAAGCATCTGCCTTTATATTTATTAGTGTGAAAATCTGCTCCAAATCACCTGCTAATATTGCCGTACATGTAGTCCTTATGGTATAAATGTCCACCTTATGTACAATCTGTAGTTAGAATCAATTCTGTAAAACTGATTATGTTAAAAATTTGAGGTACATATGAAAGTTCCTAACAAATGGGTGCCACATTATAATGTATATCATAACATGGGAAGATAACAGAGATTAGTGGGGAAATGGGAAGGGTGAAGAAATTAGTAAGGTTCATGGGGGACTTGATGAGATGGAGAGATAAAAGTAGTAGATCAAAAGTAATTAATTATATAAAACATGGGTTAACATGTTGAAGAAAGTGGTCATACAAGTCTATGATATGCAGATTATACTTTGAATCTTGGAGAAGTATGTTTTACATAATTTTTTTAAATTAAAATTTTCGTATTTTATGTAAAACTGCTGCATTTCTATCACATCAAAAAGTTCTGATTTATTAATGAATTCAATCACAGGACATACTCACAAGGCTATTTTCTTTTATAATCACAATAAAATTCACATTCTGTAAACATAACACTGAGATACACTTTGAGCTAATCTACCACCTGCATTCTAACATTAGTAATCATTCCAATAAAGTCTTGGCTTCTCCCACTTTCTCATCCCCAGCACAAGTTCTTGTCCAGGATCAGACATCTCTTTAGATTCTTGGAATCTGGAAAATTTGCAAAATGTCTCTGTGTCTTCTATGACACTACAGGCCTGAATAATAAAGCCACCTTACCATCCCATCCTCCAAACTCCATTTAAAAGAATGCTCTTCAATTTGCTTGTCTCAACTTTTCCTCATGATTAGAGTCAGATTATATAGATAAACCTTGTTTTGTTGCATTTCACACTTCATTGCACTTTGTAGAAATTATGCTTTTTACAAACTGAAAATCCTACTTTAAGTTAGTATACCATTTTACAAAAGCATGTAATCACTTCACATCTCAGTCATTTTCCTAATTATCAAATTTCAAAACTGTTCATGATGCTACTGCATGCGATACTCAGTATTGTGTAACAATTCTAACTTCTAAAATGTTAGTCCCTCTACTTGTGGTGGCTCAAATGGTTGTGTGATGCTGAAAGCTATGTCACCAGTATTTCAATGCCAGCAGAGTCACCCATGGTGGATAGGTTTGTGCAGAGCTTCCACTCCTGAAATAAAAGGCCATTGAAAACCATGTAGCCACGGGAAGAACACTGTTGGCTATAATGCCAGGAGATGAGTCACACACTTTGGAAGGCACTCACAATGCGACTAGGGAGGAGCTGGCTGATCAAATGATCAAAGTTGTTGTTACTGTTGTATACCACAGAGTTGGAGCCATAGTGAACTCCCTAGCAGGTTTTCAATAGGCTATAAATTGCCCAAGAGTTGACTGCCCATCTTTCTCCTGCAAAGTAAGTGGCTGGTGGATCTGAGCCATGTACCTTTGTGCTGGTAGTGCAATTCCTTACCACTGAGCCACCACAGCTCCCTTGCTCAAAGTATAGTCTGCCATAATGACATGGATAGAGTAACGTTTTCAGGATGGAGTAAAGCTTTGACCCAATGAAGGACTTTCATCTGTTAATGTGGCAAGACTCAAAACAAGGAGAAACAGCAGCAAATATCCATTAATAATTGGAACATGGAATGTACAAAGTATAAGTATAAATCTAGGAAAATTGGAAGTTCTAAAAAATGAAATAATATGCATAAAGATTGACATCCTAGGCATTAGCAAGCTGAGATGGACTGGTATTGGCCATTCTGAATTAGACAATCACATGTTGAGGGCGACGCAGCGCGAGGGCGACGCAGCGCGAGGGCGAGGCCGCCAGACCGGGGAACGCACGCCGCCGCCAGCGGGGGGAACGCATGCCGCCGCCAGCCGGGGGAACGCCGTGAGAGGGACCCGGAAGAGACCCGGGAAGAACAACAGCCAGCCACCTACCGCGGAACTCCAGAGGAGCGAAGACTGTGAGACCCCAGAGGAA